ACACATTTTTATATTCTTGAGTGAGGGTATCCTGGTCCCAGAGCTGCCTCAACCTTCTCCCAATTACTCAGATCCTCCGTTTTCATGCTGGGTGGCTGTTCATATGTGCCTCCTGTTCTACCAGCACATAGACTCATAGAGTAGGAAGAGACCTCAAGGGTTGTCCAGTCCAACCCCATTCTGCCATGCAGGAACTCACAGTCAAAGCATCCCCTGTGACAGATGGCCATCTCCAAAGAAGGAGACCCCACCAGACTCCATGGCAGTGTCTTCCACTGGCAAATAGCTCTTACTGTCAGGAAATTCTTCCTAGGTGGAATCTCTTTTCCTGTAGCTTGCATCCATTGCGCCATGTCCTATTCTCTGGAGGCAGCGGGAAATATGCTTGCTCCATATTCAATATGGCACCACTCCAAATACTTAAACAGGGCTATCATATCACCCCTTAACCTTCTCTTCCCCAGGCTAATTCAGAATGCAAATTCAAATTGTAGTCACAAAACTCATGCTCAGCCACTGTTGATTTGTGGTCCAGATGGAAAGAGGCACATATGAACAGCCACCCAGCATCTGGCTATTTTGAAATGATATTTGAACCAAGGATTTCCTGGGCTGTGTGCTATGCATACTTGACCATAGAAAACCACTGGGTGACCTTGAGCAAGTCACAGGCTCTCAGCCTCAGGGGAAGGCAATGGCAAACCTCCTCTGAAGAAATCTTGCCAAGAAAACCCTGTGATAAGTTCACCTTGTGGTCTCCATACGTTGGAAACAACTGGAAGGCATACAACAACACTGCTGTGTGAGCGATTGAAGAAGCAACAACAAAGAGAATTTCCCTCTTATGGTGAAGCTCTCTGTGAAAAGCTGTCAGTGAAATTCTGACAGTAGCCAGAACAGGAAGCAATGCTATCACTCAATCGGCACTTCTTGATCCAGAGGCATTATTTAAAGGCCGATCTGTCCTGTATGTTGGTGAAAATGTTCTGTCAAAGCACGGCTATTCTATTTTAAACTATTTCAAGCTATTCTAGCCTCTTTCAGGAGCAAAGCTTGTAGTTTGCATGTCGTTGTTGTTCAAGTCATTTCCGATTTATGGTGACCCTAAGCTGAACCATTCAGGATGCTGGCCAGCCATGGCTTTTCCAGGCAATTCCCAGTTCCCTTTTCCCCTTTCCAGCAACAGAAAAAGTTCTATCCCAGTGAACATACGCCATCCTCATGAGCTGTTTTCTGTTTCCCTTCCTTTCACCTGAAATTTAGAGATTTTATACGTCTGCAAATCTTTTATTGAGTTCTCCCAAGTCTGCTTTTACCTTTTGGCTTGTTCATGGAAAGTGCATTTGTGGCCACATAAGGATGGTCATCATATTAATAGTTTCTTAGTAGGCAAGATCATTCCTGGTGCATGAACTAGAATGGGGTGTGTGATGTGTGCCTTCAAGTCATTTCCAATGTAGGGCTACCGTAATGGGGTTCTCTTGGCAAGATTTGTTCAGAGGAGGTTTGCTATTGCCTTCCTCTGAGGCTGAGAAAGTGTGACTCACCCAGGGTCACCCAGTGGGTTTCATGGCTGAGTTGGGAATTGAACCCCAGTCTCCAGAGTCATACAAGCCATCATATTCCCTGTTACCATGTATGGATGTAAGAGCTGGACAGTCAAGAAAG